AAAGGGACCAGGTTCGAGTCCGTGGATGCAGTGAAAGCAAAAGCGACGCAACTCTTGAAGAGCATAACACAAGATGACCTGCAGCACTGCTTCCAACAGTGGAAAATTCGCATGGAGCGGTGTAGGGATCGGGGAGGGGACTACATTGAAGGGGATAACATTTCGACTGTCTGATTTTTTTTTAATAAAGGGTTAGAGCATGAATCCGGTTTCTTTATTGCCACACCTTGTACACTTATTTGCAATTGAGTCTTAATATCTAGTATGTATAACTTATAGAAGGTCTCTGTCAGTCTAGGCTCAGTACAGCCGATTATGCCCAATTTCTCATAGTATTCGCTACCATGGCAGTCTAGTCACTTGAACGGTCATATGCCTGACTGTCGCCAAGTTTAAGCCCCTTATACTTTCTGTGTCAGGCTTCGCCTTGTCCAATGTTGCGAACATTCTCATTATCATGATTTTGTATGACTTCTGCATTATGCCCAATTTCTCATAGTATTCGCTACCATGGCAGTCTAGTCACTTGAACGGTCATATGCCTGACCGTCGCCAAGTTTAAGCCCCTTATACGTTCTGTATCAGGCTTCGCCTTGTCCAATGTTGCGAACATTCTCAATATCTTGATTTTGTATGACTTCTGCTTGTTTCCTGCATAATTTTGTTATATAGTCATATACGTACAGGATTTTGAATGCCGTGTGCAAATCGCGGACCGGTGTGCGCCTTGGAAAATTGCCAGTTGTGCAGAGAACCTTGTTTTGCAGGCGTTGCAATTTCACTAGATGGGTATCTGCTGCAAACTCCTAGGCGGGACTAGCATAAGTGATTACGGATCTAATAAGAGCTTTGTGGAGGGTCAGTTTAATGTTAGCGCTCAATCGCTCACTTTTGAATAGGGAATATACTCTAATGAATGTTCTGAAGGCCTTGGCTTTGATCATTTGTATGTGTAATCTCCATGTCACTCTCTTATTGAAGATTACACCTAGATATTTTGCACTATTTACAAATGGAATATTTCTTCCATTTAGAGAAAGACAAAGATTCAGGCGGTCGACAACCACGAGAGAAGTAGCCCCCCCCCCCAAAGTTTTATCTTCATTAATTTCTATATTGCAGTACTCACACCAGGTCTCCATTGAGCTGAGACCGTGCTGGAGTTATCTAACAATAAAACCCTCCTTGCGATCTGTCGTGTACAGACCGGTGTCGTCCACAAAGAGGGCCAGGTGAACACCATGAGTTTGGGGGGCATTGTTTATATACAAGTTGAAAAGAGTAGGGGAAAGGACAGAACCTTGTGGCACCCCTGCTTGCATTTCCCTTGGCGTTGACATTTTGCCTTCAACCGAGGCCCTGAATTTACGTTTAGTAAGAAAGGACCCAATAAGTTTAGTCAACCTGTTCAAGAATTCCAATTTTGATAACTTATACAGCAATCCTGAGTGCCACGTCATATCAAAGGCCTTTTCGATGTCCAAGAACACCGCAGCCGTAGACATTTTATTGTCGAAATTAAGGGTTATGTGGTCCGCTACATAATCTTTCTCTTACTGAACTGGAATATGACTAGATAACTGTTTTTCAGTATTCATATTTCTTTAAAATATGTTATTATAAGATCACTTTGCTCAAAACCATCTGTAGGGGAATGAGTTAAATGATATCAAACTCAGTTCGAAAACAGAAAACACACAACGGAGTAAGAACCTCTGCAGTACAAGATATCAGGTTGCAACATTATTTATCAGGAGAAAGTTTCTCACCAGTAAAATAAGAACATTTCATTTATATCAATTCAACACCCCCTTACTGAAATGCAATGAATATTTGAACTATAACATATATGGAATACCTGTTCTTAGGAAAGCTGATGGTGGGTGAACTTGAAAGAAAATTCTGTTTCCAACAGATACTTGTACTCAACTTCATAACTTTGCTTACAACTTATACTTGAAAGCTACACAAAACATAGCTTTTCAGTTACATTAATGTGTTATAAATCACGTATTGGGAGTAGTAATACTGAGGTTTCCATTGGTTATTAATTTCAGTAGAATAATGAAACTCGAGAATCTGATACTCTTGTTAACAAGATTAAGATTGCATTTAATAATATATGAAAAGCAATAAAATAATTGCAGAACTCTGACAAACATCATACATACATACATAGCTTCACAGAGCCGTTGCCCGTATATTGAGCTCGTCATAATTATTATAAGTAGTTGCAATATGCAACCAAGTCCAAGTAGACACAACCTAGATACAATAGGAATATAATACAATTATGTATTTGTTATATATTCATCAATAGAATAGAAAGCTTTCAAGATAAGAAAGTCTTTCAGTTTTCGTTAAAATAAATTAAAATTCTCCTTTAAAATATATAATTTATGTGGCAAATTATTAAAAAATTTTATGGCTGTATAATACATTCCCTTTTGTATAATGGATGGTCTAGCTGTGACGTGATGTGTAGTCTATTTTGTACTCTAGTGTTAATTTTATGTACACTATTATTTGTAGGATACTTATTTTCGTTTTCAATTACAAACATGACCATGGCATATATACACAAACAGGGAACTGTAAG